GTTCAAGACCAGCCCAGGCAACTTGGTGAGACCTGTCTCTACAATAAATCAAAAATTAGCCAGGCATGGTAGCATGCGCCTGTAGTTCCAGCTACTTGGAAGGCTGAGGGCAATGGAGTGAGACTCCAACTCAAAAAAAAAAGTAGTCATAACAAGTATATGAAAAACTGTTCAACATCACTAATTAGAGAAATGCAAATAAAACCACAATGCAATTTCATCTCACCCCAGTTAAAATGGCAATGACAGATGCTGCAAGGATGTGGAGAAAGCGGAAACTCTTCTACACTATCAGTGGGAATGTAAATTAGTACAGTCACTTTGGAGAACAGTATGGAGGTTCCTCAAAAAACTAAAAATAGAACTACCATACAATTCAGCAATTCCACTACTGGGTATATATCCAAAAGAAGGGAAATCGGTGTATCAAAGAGATATCTGCTCTCCCATGTTTATTGCAGCACTAGTCACAATAGCCAAAATGTGGAATCAATCTAAGTGCCCTTCAACAGATGAATAGATTTTAAAAGTTGAGATATATACACACAACAGAACATTGCTCAGCCACAAAGCAGAATGAAATCCTGTCATCTGCAGCATCTTGGATGGAAATAGAGGCCCTTACGTTCAGTGACATTAGACAAGCACAGAAAGCCAATTATTGCACGTTCTTATTCACATGTGGAAGCTTAAGAAAAAAGATCTCATGTAGCTAGACAGTAGACTGGTGGTTATCAGAGAACAGGGAGGGGGGGAGGACATAAAGGGGAAAAAGGAATATACATTTATTTATTACCACTGAACTGTACACTTAAAAATGGTAAAGATAGTAAATTATATATGTATATTTCACCTCAAAAGTAAGTTTTTTTAAAAATTCAAGAGGCCTTACAAATGCAACAACCTTTTTTTCAACCAGAGAAAATGAGTTCCAAGGAGGACTGGTGCCCTCCTACCCACTCCTCACCACCCCATCCCACACTTACTTATGGACACTTGCAGGACATCCTCCTACACAGGTCAGTGCGTTTCCAGTTCCTTCAGCGCCTTAATAGCTAAGACTGGGGTTCTCTCTAAGTATTTTAGAGATTTGAATCTAAGGAATGCTAATGATTACTAACATTTATAGAACTCTTTACTAAGTAACTTCGCTCTGATATCAAAGAGCACAACTGTTCCTTCTTAGCCAGTATTTCCAGGCCTGTTTCAGCTTGTAAGTAACACGGGAAGTTAACTTCACCTCGAAGATCATCTACAAATTAGGAAGAGAGTCGCCCACACACTCCCCCTCCAGCTCAAAAATAAACAGACAAAGTGAAACTCGGGACAGTCCGCTCGCATAAGACGCTGAGGATGGGATTCGTACTATCAAACACCCAAGAGAAGTTCCCCACTATGACTCACCGCGTGCGCCCACCTGGAGCCGCACACTCTCCGCAGCCGCGGCCAGCGGAGTGGCGCTAAACCTGCAGATACAAACTCCACCCTCAGCCAATCAGGACGCCCTCCCCCGCCGCCGACCAATGACAAGCAGCAGATGTGGCCGCCGGCGTAGCCTCAGTGCTTGCCGGGAGGTGTAGTTGAGAAAGCAGAGCGGAACTCCTAATCCACGTTTCCTCCGGGAGGTCCCGCCCCCCCAGCTCTCCAGCCAATCAGTAGCATTGGTCTGGTCGGCCACTCTCTCAGCTGATCCCCCGGAGTGACCGCGGCGAGATAGGCCCCTGGCCAGATGTGGAGCGGGAGAGCCGGAGCTTTGCTTCGGGTGTGGGGAGTGTGGCTGGCAGGGCTTCCCGGAAGGAGACCACTAAGCAGCGATGCTGCGTCGCAGGCGGGAAGCGCTCCGCCCGGGTGTTGGAACTGCGGCAGCCGGGGGGTCCCTGCGCGGGGTGACGGGTTCTTCTGCCCGTGGTGCCGTGCGCTGCAGCCTCCTGACCTCACGCGGGACTACTTCAGCCTCATGGATTGGTACGCACGACGGCTTCGGGCCGGGGCGGGAGGGACGTCAGGGGCTGGCCTGAGAGAGGGCAAGGCCAAACAGGCTTGGAAAGTGGAAGGCGGGACTGATCGGTGGGCGGAGCCGTTAGAGAGCCCGGGTCGGCGCTGTGTCCCGAGAGGGAGGAAATTAAGAGGCGGGGTTCGAGGGAAGGGGCTTTGAGGTTTGGAGACTGGAGTGGAAAAGGGATTTAGAGGGGCGGAGGAATGAAGTTAGGGGAAGTTGGAAGGCAAAGGCTACGGCGGTGGGAGATGAGAGGGGCGGAGCTTGAGGGGCAGGGCCTGGGAGAACGGGAACTTGAAGGATAGTGTCAGAAATGTTTCAAGTTGGGTTGAGAAGTTTAAGAAAGGAGTGCTGAAATGTCCAAGATTAGGGAGTGAGCATGAAAAACTTAACGTGTGAGTAAAACCTAGGGGGAGCCGGGCTCGGTGGCTCAGCCTGTAATCCCGCGCCTTTGGGAGGCTGAGGTGAGTGGATTGCCTGAGCCCGCGGGTTCGAGACCCGCCTGGGCAGCGAGACCTCATCTCTACAATAAATCCAAAAATTAGCCGGGCGTGGTAGCGCGTGCCTGTAATTCCGGCTACTCGGAAGGCTGAGGCGGAGGGATCGCCGGAGCCCAGCGGGTCGAGGCTGCGGTGGCCGGGAGCGGCCACTGCACTCCAGTCTGGGCGACAGAGTGAGACTCCAACTCAAAAACAAAAAACAAAAAAAACCTAGGGGGAAATGGGAACTGAAGGAGAGGGTCCAAGAAATGGGGTTTTTCCTCTGAGACTGAGGAGCTTGGAGGTAGGGAGATGTGGACAGAGCTGAACTGGTGAGGAAATAGGGCAAGCTCTGGGAATAGACAACGCAGGGGGTTGGATAAAAATAAAGTAGGAGGCCAGGCGCGGTGGCTCATTTCAGTAATCCCAGCACTTTGGGAGACCGAGGCGCGAGGATCACTTGAGCCCAGGAGTTTGAGACCAGCCTAGGAAACATAGCAAGACCTCATCTCTACAAAAAATTAGCCGGGCTTTGAAATGGTCCGAGTAACCCTCGGCTGCTTTCTCTCCACTGTCTGTAAGAGTCAAGAGGCAGAGAACTGGGAAGAAAGGAGTTTATTTCTGAATTCAGAATTCAAGGAGTCAGAATTTAACCTCTTGCTTAAGTCGGCTCGGCTGCTTGGACTTTACATCCATATTTATAAGCACAAGGGTTAAGGTTTGCAATAGATTAGCACCAAGCTACAACATTTCAGAACGTTGCCATGACGTCTGCATTTCATTACTCTGACTTTCATTGCCTTTACATTTCTGTACCATCAGAGCTTCATGCCTTTGTTACTAAAAACAAAAGAATGCTTTCTAGAGTTTAGTAACTTTTTAGCGGGTTATACAGCGTACATGGGAAAGAGCAGATTCGCTTCTCTACCATTGTAAGAAAAAAACTGAATTTTTGAAAACAAAATCAGTGAACATTTAAATAGGTGTTGGCTTAATGCAAGTAAATCAGGCCTAAGACTATGTTATTGATGATTACCTTCGGGTTTAGCAGGAAGCTGGATTTATATTGTTAAAAATCAGAAGTTCTATTAATTCATGATTACATCAACATTGTGAAGGTTACAAATTATTCTTCTAATCGTAACTAACCAATACCCATTGTGCCTATCAGAAATTCCTACAGACTACGTGTAGGATCTCTCCTGAGCTGGATGCCTGTCATTCTGTAGACTAACAAAGAATTTGAACTGGGGGTCTTCCTTATCAGCTTGGTGACATGCACCTGTAGTCACAGCTACCAGGAGGCTGGGGCAGAAGGATTGCCTAAGCCCAGAAGATCACCATTGAGACCTCAACTCAACAAGCAAAAAATAAAATAAAATGAATAAATAAAGTGGGAGACAGGGAAGAAGGAATCTGGGCCATGGGAAGATAGGGTGGTGGTAAAGAAATTATTCAGTGACACTTGTTAAATCACAAGGAAGACTTTCTTCAGTACCATCTCATAGAAGGAACCACTGTAACAGAGAGAGAGAGATTGGGTTCAATTCAGAATACAGCATTGGCAAAAGGGAGATTATAACTAATGAGCAGGACAGGCGTCAGTGAGTAGAAAATTACTAAGAGAAAACGTCAGAGATAAGAGGGATTCTGACTAAAATGACCTAACAGGATTCTTGATGAAGACAGACCAGGGTAATCAGATATCTCCTGGGGGATGATGAAGGATAAGGAACCTGATCAGATATTGAGGATTATCAAATATCAAGGATGGCAGTTCTGACTGAATAGAGGTTTTTGCTAAAACTGGATTTTACAAGAAAATGCACAGATGGGCCTAGGAGAAGGTTCAGAAGCCTGACTAAAGTTTGGTCAAGTCATGGAATTTGGGAATGCTCCTTCTCCTTAACTGTGGGATCTGCCCCCACCAGTCACTGAACATTTATGGTAGGCTGTAATAACACTGATCTTTAAGTTCCTCAAGCCTCCCAATCTTGCTCCCACCTTAGGGTCTATGCACTTGGAGTTCCCTCTACCTGAATGATCTTTGATTACTCATCATCATCACTCAGGTCTCAAGTCAAATGTCATCCTTAAGCCAGGTGCAGTGGCAAATGCCTACAATCCCTATAATCTCAGGATTGCCTGAGCTCAGGGATTTGAGACTAGCCTGAGCAACGTGATGAGACCTCACCTCTACAATAAATCAAAAAATTAGCTGGGCATGGTGGCACATGCCTGTGGTTCCAGATACTTGGAAGGCTGTGGCGGAAGGATCACCTGAGCCCTGCAGGTCGAGACTGCGGTGGCCGTGACCATGCTACTGCACTCCAGCCTGGGTGACAGAGTGAGACTCCATCTTTAAAAAAATGTCATCCTTTGGTCCATCACATCTACCGCCCTCTGTGACCCTGTTCTGCTTCTCTTCATAGCACCAACCACTTTTTGAAATTACTTGGTTGTATGTTTTTTGTTTTTTTGAGTTGGAGTCTCATTCCATCACCCAGGCGGGAGTACAGTGGCATGCTCTTGGCCACCCTAGCATCAACCTGCTGGGCTCAGGTGATCCTTCCACCTCAGTCTTCCAAGTAGCCGGAACTACAGGTGCGCACTATCACGCCCAGCTAATTTTTTTGATTTATTGTAGAGAGGAGGTCTCACCAAGTTGCCCAGGTGGGTCTCAAACCCGCGGGCTCAGGCAATTCACTCACTTCGGCCTCCTAAAGCGCTGGAATTACAGGCTGAGCCACCAAATCCAGCCGGGACAGGTTTCTAACAAAAGTTAAGTTGTTTTCTTTCTTTTAGCCTTTTTTTTTTTTTCAAATATGGTGGGGTGGTATATCAAAGTCACCTGGAATCTTTTCCTGAAATACACAATGGTTTGGTACTTTCTTGGACCTACTGTGCTGTTTCTGTGTGGAGAGGGGCTTAGGCATAGATATGTCTAAAAAAGCTTCCCAGGTGGTTTTGCACACAATGCCTTCTCTAAACCCCCCAAACCGGGCACTCATTGCTCCAAGATGGGAGGGTCTCTGTATTAGAAAAACATGCCTAGATAATAGCAGAGTCAGAAGAACCCTGGCTTATATTCCTATATATGAATTCTCTCTACTCATGCTGGATGACTGGATGTATAAACTATAGCTTTTCTTAAACACTTTCAACATTAAGGAAATCAAAAATAGCTTATTCCATTTTTGGACAGCTTATATTATTAAAGAGGTTTTTGAGGACTTGAATCAAAATCTGCCTCTCTGGGCTGACCCCTATTGGACTTAGTTCTGTTCTCTGGAGATGAAACAAATATGATCTCTATATCTTGTGAGAAATTCAAAGAAGAAGTTAGCTGTCATGTATTCTCTAAGTACTCTTTTAATTAACCCTTTAATAATAATATTGATTCTACTTCAGTTTGTAAATTTACATCTTCTAAATCAATTTATTTTAGCAAGAAATGTGCCATTCATAAAGTATCACCTAAACTATGGCATCATTTATAAAAGACATTAAACAGAACTTTACACAGTGTTTGAACAGTTGTTTGTTTGTTTGTTTGTTTGTTTTTGGGTTTTTTGGGTTTTTTTGAGTTGGAGTCTTACTCTGTCACCCAGACTGGAGGGCAGTGGCCGCTCCCAGTCACTGCAGCCTCGACCTGCTGGGCTCTGGTGATCCTTCCACCTCAGCCTTCCAAGTAGCTGGAACTACAGGCGTGCGCTACCACGCCCGGCTGATTTTTTTAAAATTTGTTATAGAGGTGAGGTCTCGTCAAGTTGCCCAGGTGGGTCTCGAACCCACGGGCTCAGGCAGTCTACTCACCTCAGCCTCCCAAAGCGCGGGATTAGAGGCTGAGCCACCGAGCCTGACTGAACAGTTGTTAAAGTAGTTGTCCTACATAGCTACGAACAAACATTGAAGACTCAGGGTCTCTGACAGAATTAAGAGGAAGCAAGCCAGAGGAAAGAGTGAGATAAGCAAAAGGGAGCTGAAGGTGCATCAAAACACATTTTAACATTTTCAAAACGTTACTAAGGGACTGCAGCTGTCCTCTGGGTTAAAAGGAAAGGATCAGACCTTAGTTATGCATAGATTAACTAACTAAATAATTCAACAAACATTTATTGAACATCCAGTAGGCTCAAGACACGGTACTAGGCAATCTGAGAAATACAGATGGGGAAAAGCAGTCTCTGCCCTCAAGTAGGTTGTTATTTAGAGGGGAAGAATTTGGGAAGCTGCAATCTTACCTATTCTGTGCTTGAAAAGGCCTTTGATCAGGGCAACAGCATGTAAGAGGGAGTTTTTCCTGCTGAAATTAAAGATGGTAATATTAAGTAAATTGTAATATCTCTGTTTCCTAATTTTTATCCAAGTCAGTCAAGAGATGGTAACCCACTTCTACTCTCATAGTTACCAACATGTTTTTAGCCTTTAGAAGTGTTGTATTGGCATCTGGGAAGAGAGAAAGGAAAGGAAGAGGGAAGGTGAGAGCTGTGGTTTGAACAAAAGAAAAAAGAGGGTAAGCAGCTTCCTCCATGAGACCTGGATAGGCTCATTCAGATCTTTGGATCACATATTCACTCACATTTCTATATAAGATTCAATTTTAGATATTTATGTCTTTATTACATTTATAAAATTCCTTTTTCTTGAGCAGATCAAATATTCTGAAATGCTTTCTCTCTCTCAATTAAACTATTAGGTAATTAGATAGGTTACATATAGTTCATTATGATTTGTTTATATTTCACAGTCCAAATTGCATTAATTTAAATATTCTCTTCTGTTTTACATTTTTCACTTTTTTCTTGTTAAAAGTATTAAATTTCTTTCTCTAAAAATGTTTATTTACTTATAGATAAGTGGAATATTCTGAAATCAGTATTTAATTTTAAACGGTGCTCAAGAAAGAAAAAAATTCTTTGTGATCCTTTTACTTTGATGTTCAGCAACAAATTATTGTAAAAAAACCTATTTAACATATACCATGTGATATACTTCTTTTGTCAACTCTAATTTTTTTCATAGATTGATTTCATTTAACTTATTACCTTCATATTTTGGGAATATAAATTTGAACTTGAAAATGCTAGCAGTATACAGTTAAAAGATGTTTATATAACTCAATTTTTATCTCCATTTTGAATTAATACAGTTTATAATACACATGCACACTTGCCTATATTCCCATACATGTACTAATAAGCTCAGAAAAGAAATGTTAGTCTACTGATTACATACATATTTACATACTGCATATTATTTAGCCAATTTTCATAATTTGTTTATATGAATTAAATTTCAATTATATTTATGTTAATTTATTACAGTAGACTTGTTATCAAATAGTGTGTTAGAATTCACAAACATGTTAGAATTTTAAGCATCTTGTTTTGTTATCAAATAGTGTGTTAGAATTTCACAAACATGCTAGAATTTTAAGCATCTTGTTTTTCAACATCAAGGAACAAGCCTGTATAATGTTTTTACTATGGTCAGTCAACAAACTTAGCAGGCATTGTGAATTCAAACATGATGAAGATACGGACTTTCTCCCATGTTATACAATATGGTTTGGTTTTAGTGGGAGAGAGAAAAACGAAATTATTTACATAACAACTTTGCTCTTTCTGGTACCCAAAAGGAAGGCTTAACCTCATTTATTATTATAAAAGCAGTGTTTTCAGGATTTCCTTAGGAAACTTGAAATACTAACTAAATCAGAGTGTGAGGATGTTCACCTAATTTAAAAATAAAATTCTTAGTAATACATAGAAAAATCATGCATTTCAGGGTAAACTTCAACTACTTCAACCCCAAATCTTTGTCCAAGAGTATGGATTTTTTAAAATACATTTATTTCACTACTTTTCCAATCCCTAGAATGGTTACTGTTTTTCACTTCTTTTCCTTAGCAACTTTCCCTCAGACATTCTTTTGGTTATGACTCCAGAAAGCGGGCCAACCTACATCTTCTGGACAGCAATACTGTGATGTACATAGCTGGGAATCATCTGATCCTTCTGAATTTGAAAACCAAGGAACAGATCTACCTACGGAGTAGCAGTGGTGAAGGAATTGGTGTCATTGGGGTATGCCTTTAGTAACTTATTTATTTATTTATTTTTTCATTAATCAGTATTTTTTATTATGGTTTTGTGGGGTACAGTTAAGGGTTAGGTGTACAATGACGTTTCATTCAGGCACCCTGTAGATAAGAAGTGTTTTCCCATCCCCTGACAGATATTTGCTACTGTTAATCCCATCCCCCTCCCCCCATAGTTTCCCAGTACCATCCGTCATTTTCTCATAGTATTGCATTGGATGTTCAAGGTCCATTATATGAGTGAGAACATGTGATATTCGGATTTTTGTTTTTGTGAGAGGTCACTCAGTATTATAGACTCTAGTTCCATCCAGGTTGCAGCGAAATTCATGATATTGTTCTTTTTTATGGCTGCGTAGTATTCCATCGTGTATATGTACCACATTTTTTTAATCCGGTCCTCTTTTGATGGGCAGCATGGTTGTTTCCAGGTTCTTGCTATTGTGAACAATGCTGCGATAAACATACGTGTGCAGGTATCTTTTTTATAGAGTGATTTGTGTTCTTCAGGGTATATTCCCAGTAGGGGGATTGCAGGGTCATATGGAAGGTCAATTTTTAGAGCTTTTAGGAATCGCCACACTGCTTTCCACAGAGGTTGCACTAGTTTACACTCCCACCAACAGTGTAGAAGTGTTCCCTTTTCACCACACCCTCTCCAGCAGCTGTTATTTTTTGAGTTGTTGATAATTGCCATTCTGACTGGAGTTAGGTGGTATCTCAGTGTGGTTTTGATTTGCATCTCCCTGATGATTAGTGAGGTTGAGCATTTCTTCATGTGTTTGTTGGCTGCTCGAATGTCTTCTTTTGTGAAGTGTCTGTTCATGTCTTTTGCCCATTTTATAATGGGGTTGTTTGTTTTCTTCTTTTCAGTACGCTTCAGTTCCTTGTAGATCCAGGATGTTAAGCCTTTGTCAGACCTAGAGTTGGCAAATACTTTTTCCCAGTCTGTAGGCTGTCTCCCTGCTCTCTTGATGGTTTCTTTGGCTTTGCAGAAGCTTGTCAGTTTAATAAGGTCCCATTTGTCTATCTTCTCTCTTAAGTCCTGTGGGTTTCGGGTTTTGTACAGGAATTGGATGCCAGTTCCGATTTCCATGAGAGTATTTCCTTCCTTTTCTAAGGTTCTTATGGTTGAA